CGACCAAGTCGAGTGCACTATACTTCGTACATCCCACCATGTTGTTCTGAAGAACATCTTTTTTTTGGAATCGGCTTCTGTGCCGGAATGGTGGCAGCGTTGAGCTTATTGTAAGCATGAACGATACGCCACTTGCCGTTCGGCTTCTGAACACAAAATGTGGGTGACGAATGGGAGGCTTGCTCTCACGTACCATACCTGCGTCGTGCTTCGCACGAAAAAATGCATCAATGACGTCACACTGCTCTTAGGCAGGGACCATTGGCGTGTTCCGCAGTATTTGGTTCCCGGGACCAGGTCGATCTCATGACGCATTCCTCGGTCCGGAGGTAGAACCGACGGCGGGTCTTTAAAGGCGATGTCTTAGAAATGCTTTTCCAGAGAGTAATATGAATCCGAGGGATTCATCAAGATCGACGATCCACTTCGTGCGTTCAGCACCATCTTGGTGTCGTCCAGGACAGCTTCATCAAGAAGCGACGACGAGTTAATCTCTACTGTGGTCGTATAGTGTTTAAATTGCCTGCATTCAAAGCACCGCCAAACTCTTCGATAGACATCTCGTTCAACTAAAGAACACCATCCATCGCGGGAATAGCCTCGGAGTTGGCTTCGCCGTCTTTATCTCCCGTCATACCGTTGGGTGAGTATAAAGCTGCGCGCTATCGTCTACGCTAGACACACCCTGGGTCAGGTCGACGCCCTACGTCTTGCAGAAATCATTCGGCCTCGCTTTATCCTCAATCGTGGCTTTACGATTCGTCGAGACCAGTGGGAACACGTACTCAGCGTCGTCCAGTATCCCCACTTCCTGCTCCATCGGAGCCTTGATGTTATTAACGACATCCGACGAAGAGCTGCTATTTCGGCAGTCCTCGTCCAGTGGATAACATGCCACTCCACGCGTATCAGAATAGTGTTGCCCAACCTGCCTTGGCCCTTGGCTGACCATACCACGCTTTGCATGCAGCGACCGCTTTGATACTTGAGCAGTGCCCGCGAGCCATGATCGGGACTCTTGTCCCAAAAACCTTTTGTGTTTGACAGCTCGAATAATCCGATCACTAGCCCATTGACCGTCCTGTTATAGTGCCCACGCCAATAGCGCTTCTGCTTCCTAGCAGAGGTTGGTTCATGACTCACCAAAGCTTCACCAGAAGAAGTGCGCGTAGAGCCCAAGGCCTTCGACCTGCAATTGATCGATGGCTCATGGTGTTTCAACAATGCCATAACAAGGATGAGGTTAAATCTTGAATCGAAGCTAAAGACTACGCAGCGTTCTCACGCTTTCGAAGTTAAGAAACTCGACACCGAGGTCCACAGGGCCCTCGGCACAGTGACACAGGTCGCCGTCGCCAAGCGAACCGTGACAGTGTCACTTTTAGCGCCTCAGCATACAATTGACTTTCTTCGATCGTGGAGCATAATGCATTGTTGCCCAAATCGATCAGGATCTTGTGTGGCTTCTCAAAGCCCATCACGGTCGCTTTCACGACCAGCAAGTTCGGCTTGCACAAACCTTCCGTATTCAAGAGCAGGGGGGTCTTCTGGGCTGGACCCTGCTACCCTCACCTCGTCAAAGCTCAACAAAACTCAGTTCTTCCCCAGAAAGGCGCCTCGCGCCTACCTGGTGTTGTTGTTTTCCGCGACAAACCAGACTGGTGAGAAGCGGTACGTCGATTCGATGAATCTCAATGCGCCTTGCGCAGGGGACAACCAGTCCGAACGTGACGGGTGTCTCCACAGACAATACACCGTCGGGTGCTCAAACACTTCCCGGTTGCTCTGAGCTCTCCCTCCTCTTTTTCAGCATAGCTAAGATCTATTAGCACACACCCGCTCAGCAAGCTCCGAGGGTGTGCGTTCCAACTAAATCGGGTCCACCTAAAGTTGAGTTCGGCATTCATCGCCACATTCAACGATCCTTCAAAAGAAGACGAATTTACACGGAAGACTTCCATTCTGACCACGCCAGTGCGGAGGCCCTTCATAAAGACGGTCCCTCGGGGAGAGGATCTGCTACCATCCCGGCAATAAGAGTACACAATATTTGGAAAAAGTCCACCAACTTTTTCTTGACCGGTCGGGCGGCAAGGAAAAACGCGATATGCCTGGTTAGGTGGCGAGAACACTCGCAAAAGATGCAGCTTCTGCTTCACCTAGGAGAAAAACGACGCTTTCACCGAAGTGCCACACGCCAGTGCCCAATTTCGCGCTCGACCCTCGAGCTTGGAGACAGCTATCGCCACGCGCTGTTGCTCCTTCCGGAGCATGGCGGGTGCCATAGTCATCGCGGCCTCTCTCACCCAGAACAGGAGATTATCTTTATCCTTTACGTCGAAGGTCTTACCGCTCACCATGAGCAGCCTGGGTAGATAGGAGTTATCCATCGTCGACGGTGGCGTCATGGACGTATCGATAAAGCGGACGTAAATTGTACGTTCAGATGCAACATGTGTGTCAGTGTTGAAAAGTTTGAAAATATATAAATTTTAAACTCGGATGCAGCTTTAACAGAGTGTTTTGTGGTGGTTTGCAGCGCTACTACCTAGTTCAAGGCTTGTTGTCGTACAGCACTTACTTAATGTATGGTGATTCTACATGATGGATATCAATATAGAATACCGCACAACACAAGTGTATCGCTGGGTGACTACCTCGTTCGAGAATATGTTTCCGAATCCGTGATCACAAAAAGGTGGTGGTACATAACGTATAAATGGGAAAGTAGTTTGGTGTGACCCTACAACGCCTGTCAGAGAGCAAGACCCTCGTTGCAAGTGTTGGCACCCTTGTCTAGTCTGCCGACCCTGGTAAATATTTTTCAGTCCATTTGGATGGGCTTTACCGTCGATGTTTCGAACAGTTCTTCAGACAAGATAACTCACCCCGCTAGAATCATCGACACTGTTATTGTTTTGATGAGATCAGCGCTTGCCAGAATCGGTTTAGCAAGCTTTGGTGTAGCGGTCCGCCACTAGATTGAACATATTACGCGCATACCAACCCAGACCGATTGCCCGCCGGAATACCTTGATAGCGTTGTCGCAGATATCTCTTATAGTCCTCGCTAGCAGTTACTGCAGCGCTGGAACAGAATGCTGCCATCTTTCGCGATTGTGTAACATAAAAGGCAAGCATTTCTGCAGTCTTTTCAACGTTTTATATGAGACACTTGACCATCTTCTGTGTCCCTTCAATGCCGTTTATGAGTTGGCTTTTATTTTGGGCTGGAAGGCGTTGTCCTTAGAAGTTTATGTGCTGATTTCAATTCTGCTTCAATTTGGACATCTATCTCGAAAGTTTGAAGGCCATGTGTCGAGTGCGCGTCGCGATGATCACAAGCCATAATTTGAAAATAAATAGAAAGATACTAGAGGCAGATGCTTCTTCCACTATTTTCGCGCAAACAGTGGAAGAAGCCCTTGCGAATAGGTCGAATTTTGCTTTATTGATCCAATTTACGGTCGTAGATAGAAAAGAAGAGGGTGACAGCTGCATTATCTCGAATATAATGCCAGCACATCTAAGTTTGATTGGGCATATTAAATTTATATCACATTCCTGTCATTAGGATGCGAAGTGCTCTGTCAAAGACAGTGTAACTGCAAAACAATCTCCTGTAGCTGAGCTACATATCTTAAAATAGTAAAGTGGATTTGAATTTTTCCTATCTCTCAAGCCAATCGGTCTGACTGAACATATCAGGATCGAAAGGAAAATTAAAGTCAGTATCGGCAGCGACTCGCAGATAGCCCATTTGTCGAAAGAGCTAGCAAGGACTAGTTATTGAATAGTCGTGCTCCACTGTCTCTGCTTAACAAGCAAGTGATAGCCCACATTGATGTATAATTGATAGTGGCTCGACGAGTTAATAAGGATTGTAACCAGTATCTGGTAATCGGG